CATTTGGCTTGTACAACCTTTATCAGCGGAGTAATACTGTAACCCTCTTTCGGTGCGTGGCTACCATGCCACCCGAGGGAAGCACGAGGGCTGAGATACGGTCACGTTGCCATAGCCTTGATAGGAGCAGTAAGTTCGAGCGATGTGTATTAATCAACGAAGCCATCGGATCGGGTACAGTGCCCGGGCGATAATGAATATGGCGAAGGTACAATGCTCTACCCTAGAACAGTATTTTGGTTATTTCTGTTGACTTTTTCTACCCTTCCACAGGTCCCGGCGAAGGTATCGGAGCTATTTGTGATACACCAGTCTATGCTACCGACCCACCAGTCTTCCCCGCCGCGCTGGACGGAGCCTGTGCCTGCCCTTTGAATGCCCGTTACAATCAGACCAACCCTCGTTTGCCCCCCTACCCGGAACCGTGTCACATCAAACCAGAAGCTCGACTAAGGCCTCATATGGCGAGTAGTAGTACCACAACCGGCGCCGCTGTAGCTGCCTTGGGTGCATTGGAAGCTGTGTCCTCATCCACCTCAAACCGCCCCCAACCGTCCCCTCTCCTGTTCTCCAGCAAACATTCAGGGCCTTGTATGCATTATCCCGCCCGCGTGAAGCCATCGCAGACTTGTCAGGCGCCCAGTCGTCATCAGCCATCCTATTGTCATCCTCTTCCAATTGTGGACCACCATGTGGACAGTTTTGCGGGGGCCGTCGGTGGTCCACTTATGGCAGCGCGTTTCGCTCCTCCGATTTGTTTTTCGCCCAATCGCCCCCGACAAAGCAGTTCCGTGGCGGATCAGACATGTGACCCCTACGGTAAGTCAGCTAATGTTGGACCTGAATCGAGTTTGATTCAAAGCCGTTCTTACACACACAATCTACTGCTTATGCTCGTTTATTCACCTAACTAGCCAAATGGGATTTTGAGGAACGTGTAAGATGATTGTCTGACTCAGATTGCCCCATATCTGACAGCTATGTTCGCGGCGGAGCGTAGTGTGACACTTCGGCACACGTGCAGCAATTGGTTATCTGTTTCCAGATCTGACAAGTAGTCATAAATCCTTCATTTTGCAAGTGAAGGACTGCTTGGTCCCTATCATCCATCTGATTTACCGCGTCTACAAACTCTGTTGCATTTCATTCATCCTAAACCGTGACGAGGATTCGCTTCCACGTTGATCCGGTTCTTCACTCATCGTTGACACCAACGTAACTTGCGTACAATCATTTGCTATTGGAGGACTGCGCCTTATGATGGTTGGAATTGATGGTGGGCTGTCGAGGGATTTTCGTTAACCCTATGAGTAGTACAGGGTGTCTCATAATAGACGCAAAAAATATTATCCATGTTAAACTCAAACACCAATTCGAACATTTAGCAGTAGTACAGGTGTCTCATAATAGACGCAAAAAATATTATCCATGTTAAACTCAAACACCAATTCGAACATTTAGCATTTTTATGTGGACACATGCATTATCGAGGTTTGCTGCGAACAAACTGGCATTCCAAAAGATGTTGGAAAAACCGCTCCTTTCTTCTATAACAAGTTGGAGGCGGTATGAGATGTGAGACACAACATGTTTAACTTCTTCAAGCGTCACTCGTGCACACTTTTCTTCGATTCTTGCTCTTAACTCCACCAAATTCTTCGGTTTATTTTCATGATATACGCGAGCCTTGACTCTCTCATCAGAAAATTGCTCTCGGAGGTAAGTTCTCACTTGGTTTGAGTAGTGGGGTGGAGCTCCATCTTGTTGAGATGAAAGTGGCGTCTCATAATACGATACGCGCTTGCGCGGGGAATGCCGGTCAACTGAGACACCTGAGTTATTGACGAAGATGCCATGGTGCTCTGGAAATGAAGTTGCTCGACGGCATTCTGTTCAATGGGCGCCCTTTCATCACTCGGAGATTTTCTCCCTTTGTCAGGAAGATCCAATACAAATCCAGTGGACTCAAATTTCGCAATCAAGCTTGTAATGGTCGACACGATGAAAGGATCTTTCATGAGACCATGTTTGGTTTTTTAACCACAAAGTGCAGCGGTGGCGCTTTCATCAAGGGAATAATAGAGTTTCACAATCTCAATGCGCGTACTGATATCCATCGCAAACAAAAAAAGCCAACACTTGCGAACAAAACCTCCTTTATATGGCTACTAATATTGAAAGACTGTTATCCTTCCTTTACTTCAATAGGCTACGTTTGCTCACCCAATCAAATTCTGCGTTTATTATGAGACATCCGGTACATCCCCAGATGGATCGCAGGGATAGCCCAATCGTGTTGCTATCCTCTAACGACATACCAGCCGACTCGGTCGTAGCACATAGCGCAGTACTATACTACTAATACTACTATACTACGCAAACATGATCGAATCTGAAGCCTAGGTGTGCTGAAAACTTTTTTCATCCTTTACAGTGAGTAGACGATCCTTGTTTTCACACATATTGCACAGAAAAGGATCATAGTCTACTTGAAAGTCAGCTGCACTTTTCGCTACGAAACAAACGACACGATAACTTGTCCAGATGTAAAATGGTACTCATAAGGTTGCTGAAAACTCCTCGATAGCCCACCCCCGGTTTCACCCTTCCACTTTGGGCTCAGTCCTCGAGTTCCGTCGGCCTAATTGGACCCAAATTGGACAGACTTCGACAACTACTCTCACTTACACACGAATTTGGTTTTGACATCAGACTGCTCAAAAAACCACGTCACTTTACGTCATAATTGCGCTAAAACAGGAGTACGGTCTCCCCCATGCCTCAAGAACACGCTTGCCTCCGAGACTGGTTAAAATCACGCTCTTTCTTGATCAAGCAAGCCTACTCCCCGGTTTTTCATGAACGACTGATGTTCCACATGGATACACCCAATTGCAAACAGATTTGGTGCTTACGGGGAACTCCGCTGCAACTTACCCGAATGTCTTGTCCATATATATATATATATAGCTGTTCATCCTGACTGTTGTACCAACTGATACTCGAGGCGGCCGAACACAACCACAGCAGTGGCCGCACTCGTCCTATTGGTGACCTGAACTCGTGGTTCCTTGTCAGATAGCCAATGTCGTCTCCCACTCGGCTTCCTGTTCCCAACCCGATGACTTGAATAGGTCTTGCCGTGAACATGTTGGTCAACCCATCTTTGTTCTTATCCTGTTTACTTTTTGAACGAGATAGTGAGACGATCGGTGGTGTTCAAATAGCCTCTGACGAAAACTTGTCGATCTGGGTTTGGATATGCAAAAGTCTCGCAGGTTTTTTGGATGCACTTTGCACCTACAAAGTGTAAGGTCATGCTCGTGGACGTGCAGTCACTGAACGCGCCAATTAAAATCCAGGGAGAGGTGCTGGAATTTGTGGAGCGTTTTACGTATCTGATTGTAGTGTGACAGATGAGGTGAATGCACAAATCTGCAAGGCTCGGGTCGCGTTTGCTAATTTGAGACACCTATGGCGTCAGAGTGGTGTATCCCTGAATCTCAAGGGACGTGTGTATCAAGCTACAGTACGGGCTGTTTTGTTGTATGGCTGTGAGACTTGGCCTATTCGAGCAGCGGACCTGAGACGTCTTCAGGTGTTCGACAATCGTTGTCTCAGAACCACAGCTCATGTTGGTTAGTGTCGGCGAACAACCCGTAACGAGGCAATTAGGAAGCGCGTTTCCGCTTGTGCAGTGGAGCCGTCCATCAAGGAATGTGTCCAGCACCAGAAGTTGCGTTAGTTAGGCCGTGCGTAACGCATACCTAGCCATCGTTTGCCGAAGAGAGTGCTGTTTTCTATGCCGAATTCAGAGTGGCGGAAGCAGAGGTGGCCAATCTTTGACCTTGGAGATGGGTATGAAGAGGTTACGAGAAGTCTAGGCATTGCCGGTTTGACTCAGGATGGAACCGCGGGCCCTCCGATGTGTTCGGTCGGAGACGCCGCAATATGTGCTTGTCGCTTTCTATCCAGGTTGTCTGAATGGGTGTCTGGGGGGGGGGTCAGTTCTATACGTTTCTTCTTGTTTCCGCGCCCATTTCATAGTGAGAGTTCCGTGGCTTTTCAGCGAACCTCCTGGTTACAGCAATAATATTCCAATGACTGAACGGTCCACAATCAGTAAAAAGGTTTCTATCATTCATTCAGGTGCTAGTTTCCGACTGATTTGCCTGGGTAACCATATTCCTTCCAATCCTTTCAGTGCAACTTTCCAGGTGAAACCGGAGTCCTACCGCTAGACGATAAAACATAACACCGAATTTACTTCATCCAACCTTTTCGATTGCGATTCTTGCTAACCGAGAGTGAAAGTGAATTCGGCGTTTCTCATTGGTGTTCTAGTTTTAAACCAGATCGTTTGATGTCTAGTTGAATCAAATAAATTTCCATGTGGATAGATTTTTGCGTCAACTTCCACCCGCATTGACAACAAGAGGAAGAATTCGATGATAGTTTACCTGATCCAGTTCGAGTGGTGTGTAGGCAACAGTATTAGGCCCATTCATTTACCTTGCCCAGTGTGAATGACCTTGAAACAACGGGTCACGTGATCCCCACTGTCCCACGAATTCCCACTACTGGCTATCACGTCACACGAATGAGTGACGTCACAGACATGGCGGGCGACATGTGATTGGACTGTAAGCACGAGCAACCTGTTGCCGGCCTTACGCACTTTGGAGAGTGACAACCAAAAGGGAGGTTGTGCACTGGCCACCGTCCAAATGAATCGTCGCAACCCACGACGTTTTTCGAGCCACGGTTTATTCTGATATCTGTAAGATCATCAAACCACCTACCTACATTCGATTTCGCAAAGACAGTTGGACGTAAAAAAAACCAAGCCGGTATGAAAGCGGCTTTTATTTCGGTGATTTTATCCTGAATGAAGGTTTCTTCAACAGAGGTGCAGCTGACAGATTAGATAAGGTCTGCTGCTCTCCTTTTTTGTAACAGATAGGAGTGTGCATTCTATGGTGCCAGCAACATTCTTCGTGTCATTACACGACTGTGTGGGAACCGTGTCGTGGCAACCAATTTGTGCATTTGTCGTAATGTACGAATATCTGGGAGATGTCCCTTCGAAAACTCGTTATGGAATTGTACTGCCGGCCTACATATAAACCGTGCGCAAAGACTCACGTCCAACCACCGGTACAATGAAACAAACATCTAGAGAGGGATTCAGCGAGGATTCTGTTTGAAAAAAGGGCTGTATTTGGCAAAAGCGCTGTTCTGTGCACCGCTAGTCACGAAGACAAAAGAAAATCAGACTGGCGCAACTCGTTATAGGTATTCGTGTTCACAAATTCCCTTGTGGAACAGTTCATTTCAATTGGCTGATTACTGAACGAGCAACTGGGAATTGGCATGGCTTTCCGTTGCGATCACGTACCACTATTCAGTCATGTGACGCGACAGCTACCAATAGGAAACTGCGGAGACAATGACATTCACGTGGTCGCTCGCTTCGAGGCTGTCCGACTAAGCCCGGCGTTTTCATAGGCAGGCTAGATAACCGACTAACGCGCAAGTATCGACCGATTCGGGTCACGCCGGATATGTTCTGTCGAAATGTGATGCCGCAGATCTGGACATGACAACTTCAGTGAGGAATGCTCAGTCTAGCAGCACTCAGCAAGTCGGAAATCGAGGCACGTATTACTTGAAAATCGGGCCGATGAGTCGTTGTTGAAATGAGCTGGGCGGGGGAATGATTTTCTTATCCATAGCTTGAAATAGTCAACAAAATGTAGCAGAGATTTATGGTCAGTTAGATTGAGAAGAAATTCAATTGAAACTCGCCTTATTCATCGACCGGCAACTAAAACCAGACACCCTTGCCTGCATCCTCACGAGACCGTTCCCAAGCTGTTTTCGGATTAAATAGGTTGAGTTCAAGGCATTGTCAGATGCCGAGCTTTTCCGGGTTGAACCACGCTCTATTCTGTTACACCATACCTTTAACCAGCTGACTTCGACGACTGGTAAAACCAACAGCCGCAAGTAAAATTGGCTGCATGAGAAGCACCGTAGGTTGCTTTTGACTTGTCGTTCTTATTGTACAGTTTGGTGTCTTCTGGTTGCACAACGCGCATCGTCAGTCAAATCCAGATGAAATTATGTCCCCCACCCCAGGAGTATTCCATCCACACTTTCACACATTTTGTCAACAGAGAAGCTAAATTCCAAGCTGAGTTTCCCCCCATGCTGTGCATTGTAAGCTTTGGTGAACATTGTCATCTCACTTGATCGATAGGTTGTTTTTTTCACGCGGCTAGAGAACGCCAGACTGTGATCACGTTGCTGGTCAGCCGCTCGTTCGCCAGGAGACTGAAACGCCCCGGAATTTCGTGAGATGCGCGCTGCTGCTGATGAAAAACAGCCGTGCGGTACTTCTCGGCTTTTCAACATGGATCGGTCTCACTTACAGGACGAGATCTCGATTGAAAATGATCGAATCTCCTCCCACTATCATCAGGTTCTAGCCGGGTCGATAGCGGACAATTGGACCAACTAAAGACACCAAGCGTCTGCTGCTTTGTGCGTGGGCTTGGAAATCGTTGCGCGCGCGCGCGCGTGCGAGCGGCAACCCGTCACCAGCCTGGTGAATGTCGGATGCTGTGATGGTCTCATAATGAGCGAGGTCGTTTAGTTTTACCACATTCAGTTCGCTTGGGTATGCCGCCGTACGTGTGTAGTTGCGAGAAAGAACAAGTTGAGAGACAGTGATGAAAAGCCGTACAGCCGAATTATTCCCTGTCCAGCGTACCCGGTTCACTGGGTGGAGCTTTGGAGACCCATGCTGGTGTTGCCTGATATCGCTCGCAATTGAAGCCGATTGCGAGAATGTTCAAAACATCGCTACCTCAAATCAACCGACAAACAGTAAACAGAAGACTCAAAACGGGTTCTGGCGAATTTACACTCATTTGCAGAAAAATTTGGTCTTTACGAGAGACTCACCTGGAACCCAGCTGAATCCCTCGTTTATGATGTGCTGCACCAGGCCGCCTCATGTTTCAGTTGGTACGATATTCAAGATATCGCGATGCCTGTAGGGATGTAATACACTACTCATAAGGTCGCTGAAAAGTCTTCGACAGTTCACGACCGGTTTCGCNGTTTATGATGTGCTGCACCAGGCCGCCTCATGTTTCAGTTGGTACGATATTCGAGATATCCCGATATGTACGTATGGACGTATAAATGTTCAGGTTTTGTTGCTTTAATGACCACGCGTTTCTCATTTTATCTCCTGCCTGTTACCAGATATGTGTTATACATTCTGACCTTCCTGTCGATAGTTCGTACAATCTATTGTTTGGCGTGGCTCCACGCAAGAATTGTTTTTTTCCATACGCTACTATTTAGTTTGAAAGTAGTATGTAATTTTATGGCGTTTGACCGTCACGGGCCCATTTGATTCCAACACATTTTCCACTGTCCGTGTCGTAATCCATCATTTTGTTTTCTGTACGCACACACGCATGTAGGGAGCAAGGCGCGCCCGGTGGATGGTCTGTTCATTCTGACCGCAGACCTTCATTTGGTGGAATACGACCTGTGCGTGGGTCCAGCAGAGACCTCACAGTATGGCGAGAAGCTGTATCAGGTAGTTAATTCGTCTTTGCGTGGTTTAGCTGTACTAAATTTCTACACACAAGTTTTTTGTGTTTAGATGACTCATTGTGTAGCATTTCTGGCCCACACAATAGTACTCTGACCTCAAGTCACACTTCTCCGAAAAGGTGTCACTCCAATGGATGGCCCGTCGGTCATGACTCTTAGAAGAGAATCACATTCATCCTGTCTTCGCAGTGGAGGCTTACTGAAGTAGTTTTAGAAGATGGTCAGCATGACCCAGTGGGTTCCTCAGTAGCTATACTATCTTCAACGCATAGATCCTTGTCTAGGCTTGGGCAACCTGGCAGTACGCCAGCCCTCGTGCTTCCTTCCTTCGGGTTGCCTGTTATCAGTACACCCCAAATATATATGCGCAGCTGGTGTGGAACTATAGAGGAAGGAAGAAGCAGCATGGTACTATTTCCGGACCACCTGAAGGCGTTCACGTGTCCGCCTGACGCGCGACAAACTTAGTCGCCTGAGCAATAGATCAGCAATGACCATTTTTCTTTTTTTGCGTAGGTAGAATTCATTTGACATTTTGCTCTCAATGTAGCACTATCATTTGTCCGTATTACAAAATACTGCAGAAAACACCATTTCATAAATGTTCATTAAAAGGAGATATACCTTAGTTCCAATTTGGTCTTTAATCTCTTCACACGCAGACTTTAGTACCTCCTCCCGGCGACTAATGATGAATACGTTTGCGCCCAAGATAGCCAGAATTTTTGCTATGCTCTTCCCCAAACCACTACCCCCTCCGGTGACCAGAGCAGTGCGGTCAGTAAACAGTTTGTTGCGAAGCATGGAGGTCCTCTCTGCCGGAAAGAACCTACTCTCTGACCCCATCGATCGGGTAAATAAGGGCATCACGACGGCTGGGTGTACGAATAGTTTGCGAGACATGGCTTCCGTCCAGAGCTCACCACAGCGTCAGGTCAAAATTCCAACGAAAGTCTTAAGGATAATCCGGAGAAATCTGGAGTCGGAAAGGAAAGGAGTAATCGTATGTAACGCAAACTAAGGAGATTCGAAAGGAAAACTGGAAAGATTATGAGGTATTAGTGTTAAAAGCAGGAATTAGTCACTCAGTAGTTCCCCTCGCCCTGGACCGTCCTGTGGCTGCGGTGTGATACGCGGCAAACATGATAATCTGTGCTAATCTCCATAGGGAAAATGGCATTTAGTTTTTCACCCACGGGTCTCTTCTAACTTACCGGCTACTAATTCATTTCTTAATGCAGACTCTTATGTATCTGAAGATAACTTCCTTAGATCGGGCATCCCCAACTACCAAAAAATATTTCTTTTATTTTGGGATGTAAAGACACTTGAGGCCGACTCGTTGGTGTCGCTATATGTTGTTAGATGACTCATTGTGTAGCATTTCTGGCCCACACAATAGTACTCTGACCTCAAGTCACACTTCTCCGAAAAGGTGTCACTCCAATGGATGGCCCGTCGGTCATGACTCTTAGAAGAGAATCACATTCATCCTGTCTTCGCAGTGGAGGCTTACTGAAGTAGTTTTAGAAGATGGTCAGCATGACCCAGTGGGTTCCTCAGTAGCTATACTATCTTCAACGCATAGATCCTTGTCTAGGCTTGGGCAACCTGGCAGTACGCCGGCCCTCGTGCCTCCTTCCTGTGGCATGACAGCTAGGCACCGAAAGGGTCCTACAGCTGAACAATTCAACGCATAATATGCCTGACCCGCTTCTTTCGGTATGCAAGCTTCCACCCAACGTAACACTCTACTCATAGGGTCGCTGAAATATCTTTGACAGCCCACAACCGACTTTTCCCTTTTTCTTGGAGCTTATCAGGTAGACACAGTCCCTGAGTTTCCGTGAAGAAGGGCATCACTAAAGAGATATTGAGGTGGGTCTTTTGAGAAACGAATTTGGTGTACAAATGAGCCTCCACGCCTTCACTCTGCTGCTCTCTCACCGATGGTATCTACTCTGAATAGGGTTCAGGACCTCGTTCCATTTGTAGAGTCGTCCCTTGTTTGTATTCTAGCGTTGAAGGCTGTTACTGTGCTGAATGGAAACGCTGCATTCCCGTACTGATCAACTAAACTGCACACAGTTTCCTTCTATTAAACTTGAACCATTTATATCCGTTCTTTATTGATTGTTTTTCAAACTACCTTTCGGTGTAGACTCTGTTTTCTTGCCCCATATAAGCTCATACCATCCAATTAGACCTTCCGCCCAATTAGGTCAGTTCGGTCATATGTGGTATTCTGTGGGACATTACAACCATAGCTGAGACATTGATACGACTATCGGAAAACCGAAGGATGGGGTAGAACAGTAGGTATTTTGGTTAGTTGTTCGGATCAGTTCGCTTTATCGTCTCCATATGAAGGTCCTACAGACTTTATCGGCTTTAGTAAGGCTCACTTCGGTTCGGTTGTCTTCATCCATTCGATAAATACCTTCTTACCACTTTTGTTCCTCCCCCTATAGGAAGCTTCCATCCGGTTGGACTGTACTCCGGTTGGAGAATGGAACCTCCAAACAGACGCCATTTGTGTCCCACCGTTTTCGAAACAGCATCCCATACTCGTTGCCACTGCGAACCTGATCAATACAAGTCGTAGTCGTGCGCCGTCGGCCCGCGCCACCGATGCCGGAGGTAGGTTTTATGGGTGTTCATCAAACTCGCCGGTATGCTCGTCTTCGTTCAGATCACTTCAGGTTTTTCTGTGTGGAGTTTGTATGACCATCGTTGTTACACAGTGACGTCCGTCACTGATGCACCAATCGAATGCAAGCAACATAGACTACAAAGCAACACAAATCGAAATGCACCAATAGGTTTGAGGGAAAGATGCCTTTCGATTGGATGCTCACATCGACACCTGTCTGTGAATTACCCACCCAACTAAGCGCCGATGTTGGTGACGAAACGTTTTCAAGCTAACTGCCAAGCCCGCTGGTTGACTGCCGACATGACTGATAATTCTCAGCAGGGAAGAACCGGTTTATCTGTTAATCACTGAAGACTGATTTTGCACCTTGAAGCTCCATTTAAGATTGCAACCTCCCCTGATGTCCGCAAAACATAAAAGGGACGAGATCGCCCAAGTGGTTACTGACCCAAAGTCCCGTGGTTCGAACCCGACCTCTGCCTCTCGACTTCCCCTGTCTAGGCTTAGGCAACCTGACAGCCGTCCTGCTTCCTTCTGGTGGCACCGAAAGGGTGCTACAACCGAGCGATTTTTTTTAATCAGTCATAATCCGGCAAACGGAGACAAGTCAGTGAACGAGGGGGGGGGGGCCTGCAGTAGTTATGCCTACGGTTGTTGCGAGCGTTCGCAGTTCATCAAATGTCAAAAAAGCGCAGTTTATCTCTCTTGTTGCCATAGTTCCCGTCTGGAGTCAAGGTCACATTAACCTGCTGTTGGGGGGGGGGCAGCATTTGCAACATCGCAGTGCGTCTACTGTTGGTTTATAGTTATGAAACCTTGCCATGAGGACAAGAAATTTAGTTCTTCGCAGCCTTGACTGTATGTTGTGGGAGCATCGTATGTCATGGGCTCGACTGCCCTCCATCATGTTCCGGACTGGAGATGCCACAAAGTAGTCAACACGTCAGGTGTCAGTGGGTCTTAACTTCACTTCTCTCTCCTTGTGTGTGTTGACACAAGTTGCAATTGCTCTCGAACATACATACACTGTTCTCGGTTGTCACACTGACCTGAACTAAACCACCCGTGTCATCGTCAGCTGACTATATCAGACCGTTTAACTTCTAGCATGATCCGCTTCTACCTCGGAGCCCACTTCAGAACATGCTTTCTTTTCAACGTCACTTGATTGGTTCTGTCAGAATACCTTTCAGAACATTGTTCATTTCGATGTTATTTGATTGGTTCGGTCAGAATACCTTTTAGAACGCAGTTCATTTCAACGTCACTTGATTGGTTCTGTCAGAATACCTTTCAGAACATTGTTCATTTCGATGTTATTTGATTGGTTCGGTCAGAATGCCTTTTGAAACATGGCTCATTTCAACGTCACTTGATTGCTTCTGTCAGAGTACCTTTTGGAATGTACGAAGAACTACCATTGGCAGCTGAAGAGCTGACATCGCCTACCTCCAAGAGATGTTCACTCGCTGACGTATCCAATGACACGTTTGTTTTCTCAAGTTCGTCCACTTACCCTTTCCCACAACTTTACTCTAACTATCCTTCTTACGAACGGTTCGATTGCTTGTCTTCGGTTGGAATTTGATCAATCTATCATTCCTCTTGGAAGAAGAATTGAGATACGCAGTGAACATGAACACCTGAACAGACGTGAAGGTTATGCTGGTTCCTGCAACCAACAAAAGAGCAGATAGGTTTCGATCGAACCTAAACTAAGAACCATACTGTTAGGGGGCGAGATGGTTCAAGTGGTTAGAGCGCGACCGGAATGTCCGTGGTTCGAACCAGACCTCTGTCTCTCGATTTCCCCTGTCTAGGTTTGGGCAACTTGTCAGTATCCCAGCCCTCGTGCTTCCTTCGGGTGGCATGGCAGCTGGACACCGAAAGGGTGTTACAGCTGAATTATTTTTTTTATACTGTTAGACTGTCTGAAACGTTCTGAAGACGGCGAAGTTCAAAATTTGCTGGGATCGTGGTGAATGGTAGTGAAGTCTGATGATGAGCGGACATCATTCACATTAAATGGTCATTTTTATTGTTGTTATATGTTTAAAACAATATTTTGAAAAAAATGTGGGTGACTGTAGGATTTCCTGTCGCTGACCGCTCTTTTTTGGTCCTCATATTTTCTCATTGCCGTTAGATTCGCCAAATGTAACGGCGCATTCGGAACTTCCATCATCCGAGGATATCACTCAGGTGTCCGAAAGCAGCGGTCCTACTCTTTCTACGAAAACAGATGATGATCCGGAGAGTTCTACCGTCGCACCGGCGGGCTGGAGCCCTGAGGACGCTGCATCTTACTGGTACAGCCAGGTCGAAATTACGACACATCTGGGCCCCCTGCGTCGCGTTTGGATGGGACCGCAGTTTACCTTCCGTCCCTACTCATCATTGGTGAGTCCTTTCTACGACAACTGCTTGTATTTTTAACCATCCCAAAATAAGTAGTATATTCGCTGTTTTCTACTACGGCTCCTATCTTCTTCTTCTTCTCCTAACAGCTTGATTCTACCGGTTCATCCCTCGACGAATATTCCCCGTGCTCCGTAATGGACCCCGCCTCCGTTATGGATTCTATTACCTCTTCCGAACTCTACAAATTTCTCCCTCCCTGCAACCAACCCGCTTCGATGATATCCTACTACGGTTCTCCTAGCCAGTTCGACTCGGAGGCCGTGGAATTCTCTTGCACTAGCGCGTCCGGACAACCGACATTGTCCAGTGGCCAGTCTTTCAGTGGGGCTACAATGCTGCTACCAGAAAGCGGAGTTAGTGGGTCGGCGTCACCTGGTAGGCCGCATCCAAAATCCGGCACACTACACTCCGTCCCCGGTCGGCTGCTAGAGGGCATCGCTCGCTTAAGGAATTCTTCAGGAGATTCCACCCATCCATTAAGCATTCCGCGTCCTTTGGGGTCGGCCGATGCCTCGGTGGTTATTGAAGGAGGTACGTTGAGTGTGTGGGTTCTGGACTGCAAATATTTTCTATCCGGGCACATGAGCCCCAAAGTAGACCAGTTAGGCCTATTGCTACTGTTCTGTACCCCTCTCAGTCGCCACGTACGCGATTATTTTCCTTCCGAAAAGTCCGACCTTGTCCTACCCCCTTTTCAGGCAGTTATCAGGATTCCAGTCTTGGTGGTTCGCTGTCGAGCCTGTTGGGTCGATTCAGTGATGACGTGGCCTCGTGCATTGCCGACGCGATACAAGTGAGACTGCCGTTGCATACGTTGTTTGTTGACATTGTTTCCTCGCTTCCTGTCCGATTTTTGAACTCTTTACTTTCCATTAACGGTATCCAGTCTCCTCGGATTATAATAGTCTTGGAATTTCTGAGCAACCTCCAAAGTTTTCTTCATCTACACCATTGTCGTTCGGAAGTAGGTCGTCAACAACAGTAGCGAGGAGAATTTCATCTTCAGTCTCATGGTTGGAATGCTTCAGAGCATGAGGTTCCTCTTCACTTGCTCATACTCACATCACTCTCGTCCTCCTGTCCTGGCGGTAATCATTCTGGTGAATCCACACCAGAGGGGGAAGCATTGGACTCGAGTTTCGCTCTTATTAGAGCTCATCGACAGTGCATATCCAATGGCTGTGCCGGGGTTTGAACCCCGGACACCTGACATGCCAGGCGAGCGTGTTACCACTACTCCACCAACGCACGATGGGCGTATCTAAATTTTCACGTCTGAACGAGCTTGAGTGATGTGCCCGATTCACTTTTCTTTCAATGTTGGAGCAGTCTTGGGAACCCTAGAAGTGTTTAAGACGATTGAAAAACGTGTTGGGCCAGCATGCTAGATGTTGGTGCGTGGTCTTCGGGTTTGAAGCGGTTTCCAACTTCTCTGGATTCCAACTCCAACAAACAACCTCTTCGCCCTTTCGATAACCTAGTGTGGCACCAGAAGGCGGAATCACATGACCAATATCAGATCACTAAGAGCTATCGGGCAGCTAATTGAGCAGCGCACGCAAACAAGCGTTCATCGCACATCTGTTAAATGTACTGCTACGAGTGTTGGAAGCTGGCCTGAAGGCTGAGCATACACGAACATCAGGTGGCTGACCTTCCGAAGTATTCGTATCTATGATCCTGCTGGAGTTGATGTCGACTCACATGATTTGGTCAATTGAAGTTGGTTGCCACCAGTTCGGGATCCTCGAAAATAGCTTTAATCCTGCTGACCGTTACAGAATGTGTTGACCAGGCTCACTCACTTATCAGCGGCAAAAATCCAGGGAAAATGATGATGTATCAGACTCACATCTTCGTGAGTTCCCGTTTTCTCTTCGATGAGGAGTTTATCGGTCGTTTGATTAAGAGGCAGTACTTTAGTTGGGCCGGGGAACGAAGTCTGCTAAGACATTATGTTTGTAATGTTTCACGCACTAAGTCTTCCTTGAATTCAAAAACATTTCGGTGCTTCTCAACACAGGACGAGGAGGCCTGTTGGCGAGGGGAGCGGGATCCCCATGACTCCAGCTCTGCTGTCACACCGGTGGGATCATCTATGCTGTCGCCGTTCACTGTCAGATCCATTCCAATCGCAGTTCCGACTCGTAGCTATTCTCCGATTCCGCGCCCCGAATCGATCACCATACAGTCCGCCTTGTCCGAGGATGACTTCCCTAGTCAGAATGTGTCTCCCCGTGAGGCCTCCACAATCCCGTGGTGTGAGCAAACAGCTGAAGCGATCGGAGATCCCTTGTCCTTTCCAGATGTCCCGCCCGCTCATGCGAATCCCATCAGTCATCCGGCCACATCCGAGGGTGTTGATCATGCAGCGCAATCAGACCATACATTGACTGTTGAAGCTCACAAACAAACGAAGAAGAAAAGCAAACGCTCAAAGAAGAGTAGACCAGGGATTCTCAAATCTTCGTTGACTTCCAGCGCTGGCGAGTTGACACGAGAAATTCCCTCGGATAGCGAAGCCTGGAAGCAGCCTGTGACGTCTCTGACAAGCCCATCAATTTCCGGCCCGCAAAGTCTCAGTTCATCTCCTGCAGTAGGCAGCGCGCTTCATCGTGTGATGGCAGATCGTCTGAGGCCCGTGGTCTCTGACACAGGTCACAGTTCTCCCGAGCCACCTGTTGTCACGTGCCACCCCAAGTGCAAGCCGCAAAGTCGTCCATCCTCCCAGGCTTCTTTGGAGCTGCTAGCGAACGACCGGACTGAATCTCACTCAGTTGGCTCTCCGGAGTAGTTCAACATCCGTTGCAATCGGTCGAATCAGAAGCAAGTGTTTTTTTCTCGATTATGATTTCTCGGGCTTAGAAGTTGCTCTCCTTACTGTTTTTTCGGCTGTAACTTCTTCATTCAGTGGTCAACCAGTCAAGTAGTGTGTTCTTTCCATCGTGCTGGCCAATGCACCAGTCGACATACCGCTCGTACAGTAGTGATTCTCAATCAAGGTGATTTTTTCTGATTTGAAGGTCACTGATATGCTTGCCTCACTAATCACTTCCCCGCGACTTTGGCTTGCTATAACAAAACACTTATCAACTGTGGAGCTCATGCATCAAAGCTATCGCCTTCAATGCGTAGCTACTGAGTTTCCGAACACGCCATCTTGGCATGTATTTCCCACGCTTTCCCACTTTTTCTGGTGGTCGAAACTGTAGCAGCCTAGACCGGGGAGGTCGGGTTCGAACCATGGACCTTTTGGAACCAGTGTACTCATGGTACATGGTTTATAGCTGATAAACTGGAAATTCAATTTGCGCGGGGCGAGAACTAGGATCAATATTTTAATGGGTCCTAACCAGTCCCGGTTTTTGGCATGTGTTTAGAACCGTATAATTGGAGTAAAAACGGACTTGGTTGGACCGTATCCAATTTGGCCGCATTCTGTGATGACTGTTCTGCAATTGTTTAATCAACCTGGTCCGTTGGGAACTGAACAATGGGGCTCCACTAACCAGTAGTATTCACGCTTGCTAGAACGACTAACATTGTCCATTCAGATGGTAGGTTGATTCACTCCAAGTAGCTAGATCGCCGTTCACTTTACCGTTTTCCAATTCACGAAACCCTGTTTTCTCTTCTTTAGCCTGTTCCGACCACCACCGTGATCTTCAATGCCCCCCAACCCCACGATTTGGGTTTATTTTTCTAACTCCGGCGTGTAATCTCTCATGTAGAAGCAGATTCCATCCACACAGACGACGCCCCCACTTTGATTCAGAACTATCAGTATGCCCTCCTCGCGCTCACAATCCAACTTGTGGACCGGTTTTGTGCATGCCTTCTGTTCCACTCAATCATCATTGTCATCGTTTAGGTGAACTGGCTTTATTGATCGACAGACACCCCGCTCGTTTCTGATGATCCTGATTTGACGCATATTCTCACTATTTGCTCTATTTTCTATCGAAATCTACTTAAAAAAATCGTTTTTTTCTGGTTGCCAACACGACGAGAGCAAGTACAGACATCAGTCCTTGTTCCCTTGTTAATCTCCCAAATCTATCAACTGGCTCTGTTCGATTTACAGATGATGTCAGACGGTGCGTTTTCCGAAGTCTCTTTTGTTCAAGAGAAAAAGTTTTCTATTTTTATGATACACACCCACACATCACCGCTTCTCCATTTTGCCTCATTTTTCTGTCTCCAGGTGCTAACCAAGTTTATTTCGTCTGCGAAACGATGGCTTTTCTACCAATCCACACTTTTGTTTTCACAGTAAAGACGAGTAAAATCATGGGGGGACACCGTGACCAACTTCAGCGCATAGTTATTTGATAGAGAGAAGTCCACAATAACGGAAGCATCCAGATGTGTCATCACACACTTGGATCAACTGACGCTTCCCAACGGGCTTGAGAACCAACTGTGTTCCAATTTCTTCGAGTTTTTATCGGTTTCCCTTGCTTGCACGCAGTGGTGTGTCGAGTGCCATCCAAATACCAGAAAACAGACGAGTATCCTTTATCAGCTTGGCAAATGAACCGATAATCATCAGCGCGACGCGCGAAAGGCAAGGCCGAATAGGGTTGTACCTTGAAATGTCACGTAGAGAATGCAAACAACACTGTCGTGCAGCTACAAGTGGGATCCGAGATGTATTATTTGGACTTGGTGGGGCGTGTTGACTCGTATTTTAGTGCCCACTTGCCCAGGTCGAAATTGCTTATCCGTTCTGCCAAGACAGGCGGTCGAACATCTGTGTGTAAAACGGCAAAGTATACTGGGAATGGCGTGCTGAAATGATCGAACTTTGGCCACGGATTGGGTTAGAGCTGTAGATGGCGGGACGGTTCAGTGGTTAGAGCGAGAATTTAACAACCAAAAGGTCCGTGGTTCGAACCGACCTCTGCCTCTTGACTTCGTCTGTCTAGGCCTGGGCAACCGCAGCCCTCGTGCTTCCTTCGGGTGGCATGGCAGTCAGGAACCGAGAGGGTGCTACAGCTGAACGATTATGAGTACTTGGGGAAAATATTTCACTCTAATGGATACTTGTTGAGATTCGCTAAGAAACACTGAGTTTTTCTGCTGAAAAAGAAAAGGTCCGTGGTTCGAACCGACCTCTGCCTCTTGACTTCGTCTGTCTAGGCCTGGGCAACCGCAGCCCTCGTGCTTCCTTTCGGGTGGCTGGCAGTCAGGAACCGAGAGGGTGCTACAGCTGAACGATTATGAGTACTTGGGGAAAATATTTCACTCTAATGGATACTTGTTGAGATTCGCTAAGAAACACTGAGTTTTTCTGCTGAAAAAGGATCAAATCTCTTCTTGACGGAACATACTACTCCAAGGTTGCTAAAAACTTATCGAAACTTGTCGTGCGGTTCATTCATGATTCATTAGGGTCTCCTGTTGAAACCAAGTGGCTGTATTTCCCCACCTGTGTACAACTCGGTGTCCAGGTAGAACAAGGCTGGTGGGAACTCTGGGCTGTGCCCACGGTGATGAGTTCTCAGCAATTCCTTGATTAAGTTCAGCTGAGTCTCCCCTTAACACCGGATCAACTTAAATGGTGTATCTCGCTAAGGAATGGATTCAATCAGTTTCGATGAATTTCGGGTTCTGTCGAAACGACAATGGAGTGGCGTCTGACGTAAACTGTTAAGTGAACCCCAACGCAGTCATCCACGGCTGCAAGTGAATTCTGATCCCTTTAATGTAGTTAATTGTCTTTCTTCCGCGTGTTCGGTCAGAACTGAGGAGCAACTTCGAGTTAGACGGGCGTACCCCATTCCGATTCCGACGCAGCCGTCAGTCCGCCGCAGCACGCGCCCATTCAGATCTGGAAGCAACTGCGCGATCGATACCGGATTAATCGAGAACGGAAGTGGTGGGTCAGCTTCCCAAATTGGGACGTAGAACTGCAGACCAGACAAAGATAACATAGGAACTATCGTCAACGGTACGAAGCGCAGACGAAAGGGGAAGGGCTCTCTTTGTCCAGAAACACAGCATTGAAAAGAGCGACAGTATTCGGGCCACCGCGACTGGTTTTACGTCCATACTGGAATGGAGGGTACCAGAAGATCATCATCATCATTGTCAGCTGTAAGAACCGCGTACTCGTCGTACAGTGGTTGTAGCTGCCGCAGTTTCGTTCACCGATGATAGGTTCGGGGGGTATATGACACACCTGTCGGTTCGAGAGGTACATATGATGTGATTTTTGCCTAAAGAAGGTGCCAAAACTATTCATTGTGTCAAATATGGATCATGTTGTATCTAAGTGGTGAACCCGCTCCAGTGCCTAGTGCCGGAGAAAAGACTCAAGGGAACACAACAGCTATGTTCCGAACAAACGAGCAAACTATCTGAAGCTGAAAATGCATCACACACAGTAGAACCAAATCGTTTGCTCAATTCGGCTTTTTGTTGGTCCCCTCTCAGAGAAATGGCTGCCTTGGTCAGCTCCTCTAGGTACTCTCTTCGGAAGGAGACCTCTGTTTTAATAAGTACAGATTCCGAATCCTAGGTCATGAGGCGTTCGACGCGGCTATCCACGTTTTCTTTTGAGTAAGATCCAAAACTATCTGGGTAGAGCGTTCTACGTATCTTGGAAGTTGTATTAGTTTTGATTGTAGTGTGACAGATGAGGTGAATGCACAAATCTGCAAGGCTCGGGCCGCGTTTGCTAACTTGAGACACCTATGGCGTCAGAATGGTTTATCCCTGAATCTGAAGGGACGTGTGTATCAAGCTACAGTACGGGCTGTTTTGTTGTATGGCTGTGAGACTTGGCCTATTCGAGCAGCGGACCTGAGACGTCTTCAGGTGTTCGACAATCGTTGTCTCAAAACCATAGCTCGTGTGGGTTGGTGNGTTTGCCGAAGAGAGTGCTGTTTTCCATGCCCAATTCAGAGTGGCGTGAACAGAGAGGTGGCCGACCCTTGACTTGGCAGAGGAGTATGAAGGAGATCACAATGCGCTTGGGTGCTCTCGGTGCTGCGCGCCCTTCAGGGTGGGGACGCGTGATGCTTATTGTGCCTGGTTGGAGACACAACAAGATATGGTTGCCAACCGATGTCAGTGGCGTTCTTGTTGTCAGTTTCTGTCCAGATTGCCTGAATGAATGTCTGGAGGTGTAGGCACCTCGGAATGATTGTGTTAAGCTAGCACTAAGTCCCTCCCCCATCCACCTTTATTCTTTTCTTTACAATAAGGCTTTCAAATAAGTCATGGCTGTACGGCAGTGAAGCATTGGTGTTGAGCACTGATGTCATGCTGTCGTTGATGATGATGCGCACGATACGAACGGTCAAAAGCTAACCACGGAAAATTTCGGCTACATCACAGGAACTTGGGGAAATTAGGCACCTACTGGATAAACAGGACTCCACTGACCGTACTCAAACCTAAGAGCCAATCGGAACTTTCGAAGCCCGGGGGAAAACATCGCAGGTTTTTAAACCCACCCAGACAGTACCAGTAAACCAACGAAATCGATATAACTGCTCCAGAGGCTGAACAGCCTGTCCGTTGCCGAAAAGTCTACACAGTAGCTTCTGGGTTCGTGCGCTCCAACCACCAGATGGGCTACTTTTTCGTTGATCCAAGTTAAACATTGGCCCGCATCATTCCCATCAAGCACTGCAGATACAGGGGAACAGGAGAAGCACTTCACGTGGCGGTACACTGCGATCATGTTGAACGGTAGTTACCATAAATGGGCAAATGCCTGAGTAATGTATCCTGAGTTCGAAAGAGCTTAGTAGTTAAGGTGCGAAATTACAGACCGGAATGTCCCTGGTTCGAACCCTACCCCGGCATCTCCACTGGTCCTGCCTAGACTTGGGCAATCTGATAGCCCTCGTGCTTCCTCCTGGTAGCGGGGCAGCCAGACATCCAAAGAGTTTTACAACTGGGCGACACATCATTTGTTTTAGAAACAACATACTAGTCAGTTCACCAACGGGGGTGAAAGTTCCAGGCTCATGAGGAAGTTACTACGTGGTAAGTCGACGCCACAGAATGCTGTTGTTTGCTAAATTCCCACTCATCTCAGGAATTCTTGGATAGCTGGCCCTTTTTGGAGAGGGTATTGTGTACCAAGCATCGTTACATGTTGGAATACCCTCACGCACGTTTCCGGTTCGCCAGTGCTCCATCCGACCACTTACATCCGACATCATGTGACGCGTGTTTTGAGACCTAGTATATCGAACATATAATGCACGTATCGATCGAGCCTTTCACGTTAAACAACATTGA